CTTGCTACTGGAGAGGATGATGATGACGAAGTTCCAGATCTCGTGTAGGATTTTTTTTTTAAATATATTTTATTGATTTTTTACAGAGAGGAAGGGAGGGCGAGAGAGAGATGGAAAAAAATTTATCTACATAAAGTGATTCATGATCTTATATGAGAGTTCATCACCTTGAAAAATATATAATATAGTAAATTAAAAAATTCAGGTCATAAAACAGTATATTTGATATGATTCCAATTTTAATATACATAGTAAGTACACTATGTATGTAATTTCATATATATGTATACATATAATTTCATGACTATACATACAGTCATCTAATATAGATTAAAGACAAATCATTATTTTCTACTAGAGGCCCGGTCCACAAATTCATGCACCAGTGGGGTCCCTCAGCCTGGCCTGCGGGATCGGGCTGAAACCGGCTCTCCGACATCCCCCGAGGGGTCTCGGATTGCAAGAGGGCGCAGGCCAGGCAAAGGAATGTGGGAGGTTGGCCAGCCAGGGAAGGACCTCAGTAAGGCTCCAGGGCATGTTCAGCCCATTTCATTCAGTCCTGATCGGCCAGACCCCAGCAGCAAGCTCACCTATCGGTTGGAGTGACTGCCCCCTGGTGGTCAGTGCACATCATAGCCAGCGGTTGAGTTGCCTTAGCATATCATTAGCATATTACACTTTGATTGGTTGAACGGCCAACCAGTCGACCAGACACTTAGCATATTAAGCTTTTATTATATAGGATATCAGTAAGGAAAAACACTGCTAATTAAATTATGATACCAACAATTTAAGATACACTCTGATTTCAGAAATGTTAAAAAATAAAAAAATATGCATCTTAGAATTGATGGAATACATGTGTATGTGAATTATATATGATAGAGGCCCGGTGCACAAAAATTTGTGCACTCAGGTGGGGAGGTCCCTCAGCCTGGCCTGTGCCCTCTCATAGTCTGGGACCCCTCCGGGGTGACCACTTGCTGGTTTAGGCCTGCTCCCCGGGGGATTGGGCCTAAGATGGCAATCAGACATCCCTCTGGCAGCCCGGCAGCCCTCAGGGCATGTCCACTTGTCAGCGAGGAGTAGCCCTAAGCTGCAGACATCCTTACCACGGCTGAGGAGGCAGGAGAGGCTCCCACCACCACTGCTGTACTGACAGCCCTCAGCCTGGAT